TATACGTAGACACCATACATTTAAATAAAATTTGATTTGATCATCAAATGATATTTGATTTAATCAACAATATTAATTATAATTAGTAGAGTAGTCTATTATTAAATGTGATTTCGGATAAAATTTAATATGCACCTCGGCATTAAAGTCATTTTTTATCACTCACGTGGTTATTTGCCTCAGCTTTCGCCTTGATACATAAATAACTATTTATGGCATTTTTCATTAATTAATTTTCCAACGGAACAATCCATTTTTGGACACTTCAAACAATTTGACATTTTTAAATGACAGACATTGGTGTGTAAACTGTTTTTAGAAAATTATGCACAATTTAATAATTTATTATTTTAGTTTTTGTTTATTTACAAAAGGTACAAAATTAGTTTGTTTAGAGTAAGTATGTTAGTTTTTATGAATATGTAAAAATTTCAATACCTATCTTAAAAATATTTTAATTATTAAAACAAAATCTTAAAAATTGTCTCTTGCGAATTAGAACTCAATTCAAGTCTTGCTACCGAGTTTTTTTTATAAAATATATATTTACTATAATATAATGGATTTATATTAATATAATCCACATTATAATAATAAAATTAATAATATTATAATCCATATTATGGATTTAGTCAGGTGGGCATATTGTGTATTTTGCTTATAGCTGGGCTGTAGATGATACAGCCACAGCCCAGTTAAAAGCAAAATACACAATAATTTTATTCATGGTTATTGGAGGCTAATGTGCATGTGATGATAAGCATAAATTGGTTTAAATCGACTCACTTAAACATAGCCGTTTTAAACTATGAAATGGCTGAAAATAGTGATTTTTCGAAAACATGAATTTTTATTATATATTTTTTGAACTCTTAGCCAATATTATTTGAAAATGTTTTCATTGCTTTTATATAAAGTTATGTCTTTGGTAACAAACTCCATTAAAAAATTTTGCTGGCAAGTTGTTCTAAGAATATACGAATTTATAAAATTAGCCAATTTTGCAAAAAAATTGCATTTTTAAAAAAAATCCCAAAGACCATTTAGGGCATCAATAACTAAATGTGTCCTATATGGTTTAAAAGAGAAATATTTTTTTAATAATTAGAGGATATAAGGTGCACTCATTGGTGGCTAATAAATGGAATAACCCAAATGCATTGGGTCATTTTCATATTTTGAGGAAAGAGCTCTCCACCTTCGGTGTTGGGCTCTTTCCAAAATATAAAAATGAACTCATGCATTTTTTAGGCAATATGCTTTCAAGCAAAATTATCGATAATTTTAAAGCACTTGTGTAATTACCCCCGATAATTTTGTAGAAAAAAATATTAAAACCACTTTTTTTAAAACCAATATAGGTATTTAAACTTAAACTTGTATAGTTGCATTTTATATAAATTTAAAATATTGTTTGACTATCAATTGTTTAAAAGTTTCATTTTTTTTTACTTTATAAATGTCTGTTAAAACAATTCTAAAGTGCAAAACTTTAATCTTCAAACTATTATCTAATAAATGCTAAAACAATGTGCCCTACAAAGATAAAATGCTGAACATTTTGATAGTCACAAACATTGGGACCAAGAGCTTGCAAAAAAGGCTATGGGGATCGGGTCCGGTGAATAATTAAATACAAAAAGAGATGCTAAAACTGCAGCAAGAATACCAAAGCTTGGAGAGGATTGATTTCTTAACAAGGATTTCGAAAATTAAAGCTTTTCTAATTTTTTAAAATGATTTTCAGTAATTTGTAGTGATTTTTCGTAACAGTATATTGTGCAACTAGTAGGACAAAGAGGAGATTCCTCGAGCGTAGAGTTTGCCGCACGAGCGTAGCGAGTGAGGTAACACGCGACTGGAATCTCCTCTTTTGACCAATAGTCGCACACAATATTTTATTCAACTACCACAAGGAATTTAGATCCAATTTTATTTGATATTTTATCTAAAATCGAACAGCTCTCAAGCAACTTTAACCTCACTTTTTTAACTTAATTTTAACTTAAAGCTAACTTCAGTCTGTGGGCGAAGAAGCAAAATTTCGCCCACAGTTTTAAGTTAAGAAATTTTGCCAGTATAAATTTTGTTAAAAATACTATAAGATATTGTTTGGGATTAATTTAAATAATTATGTAAGTTAACAACTAAAACTTCAACACTGGATTTAAAAGAGTATATTAACAAAGAAAAAGTGCGTAAAGTCAAAAAAACACTACAGTTTAATTTGTATGGAAATAACAAGATTTTTTAAATTAATAATATTTATTATTATTATTAATATATTATACCCCAGAAGTCACGCACCACCTTGAAGGTGGATGATCTACATAAATCGTTAAAATAGTAGTATATTAGTGTATAACTTTTTGAAGTCGTTGTTAGTTGGGGATTATTCTCGCAAAAAATGTCAGTTGGTTACACTTAGTTACTAACTAACTGACAGGTGGATTTTATTTACCATTCTCAACTAAAAGATAAGTTTTGTGTAAGTACTCTTTTTAAATTTTTTATTGATATTGATTGTGTATACTTTTACAAGGTTTTAGCTCATTTAATTGTCAATGTTTATTAAAAACAATATAAATATAAAAGTCACGAATTTGAGGTTATCAATACTAAAAAACTAAATGTCACCAAAAATAGTTTAAGAATGAGCTTCATTATTTAACGATTTTGCGTTTGTCATCCGGTGATAGAATAATTCATTCTGTAACACTTTAAGGAGTATACATATGTAATTTCACATTAAAAATTGATATAAGAACGGTCATATTCCGTAATAGGAGTAGACAAAAATTCTACCTGTATTATTTAAAAGTATATGAGATCGTAAACATTGAGTTTATAAACATAAAAATAATATGTTTACCGATTATATTGTTTGTTTATATTAGATTTGATAGGACAGAGAAATCGAGTGTTGCCCAACATGTACTTGATGATGGTCATAGAATAGGATTTGACAACCTTAAACTTATTAAGAAAGTTAGGAAACCAAGTCTGCTAGATAGTTATGAAAGTTGATACATCTATAAGAATAGAATTAGTTTGTTAGTTTCTCTGTGCGTGTTCACTGAAGCGATTACGGTCCAGGGTTTAGTAAACTGTGTCCGTTCACGGTTCAGCCAACCTTAGCTTATAATTAGCATAAATATGGTAGATTTAGAATTTAGATTTAGTTACAATTCGCCAAAGTTGTCCTTTTTCAAGTATCAGCATGGCTTCCCGGTCAGCGGACTTCAACATGTAACAAACTTTCTTGTAAGATTAAATTAAATAATGCGGATATCCATTTCTTGAAAAAATGCAAGCGCAATTAAGCTTTTTTGTGCACGTCAAAATCTCGAGTAACGATAAAGTCATTCCAAAAATTTCTTTATTCGCCAAGCGCATGGATTGACCTAGAAATGGATTTCTTGTACTCAAAACGTAGTTTATCTGAACTAGAATGCTACGAATTGTTTAAATGTTTAACCTATAAGTAAGGATTTGAACAATGGAGCGATTTTCAAAGGAACATGTTTTCAGCTATAGATGCCAAGTTTAGGAAAAAAGTGGCAACTCACCATAAGAAATTAATTAGGTTAGAAATTTTTGAAGAGAAACCAGTTCCTAAGAAGAAAGTTAGCATTGTTGAGAATCTTTCATCTTAAAAATTTCGGTCCAGGCTTTGGAGGCTGTTGTTGCACATGTTGAACGCTTCGTCCAACTGTGTAATGAAGCATCAAGAGGTTTTGTCAGAGAGGCGTGTATGCTCAAGATTCAACAAAATCAAAGAAGTCACATGCTATTGTCAAGAGTCTGAAATCAAAAGACTGCTTCTTTTTAAAAGCTGATAAAGGTAACAAAGTTGTTATCACTGGATTAGTGATAGACCTTATTTAAAATTATCGAAGAACCCTTTGCCAAGTATAATATCGGATTTGTCAATTTTTTTTAAAGAGTGCAGCAACCTTGTTACTCCTGCTTTGAAGCTCAGGTTACTTGTTTCTGGACCAATTGTGCCTAGACTCTACGGTTTACCCAATATTCATAAGCCTGGCAAGTCTATGACGCCAATAGTTTTGGCCATTGGTTCACCGACTTATAAATTAGCTAAATGGTTAACAAATGAATTCAATAACCTCGCTGTTGAGCAAGCCAGTTTTTCAGTTAAAAACTCAAAGACGTTTATCGGAAAGTCAAAAGTGTTACACTGCAAGACAGTGAGTTATTAGTTTCATTTGATGTTACAGTACCACTTAGAGGATTTACTCAAAGAAAATAGTTTTTCCAATGAGACTGTTGCTAAATACTTGAAGTTTGCATCAGCCTGCATGCGGCAAAACTGTTTCCAAGTCAACGGTTGCTTCTATAAACAGCATAAAGAGACTGCTATGGGGAACTCCTTGTCCCCCTTTTTAGCTGATCCTTTCATAAGCCGTTTTGAGAAGGAACTTAGTTGCTCGGGGTATTTTCCGTGGATTTGTTTAAGATACGTGGACGATATCTTTGCTATTTTCGATCAAAACGCTTGCAGCTTAGATGATTTTGTTTCCAAATGATGGAATATTGAAAACAAAACAATCATTGTACATAAGTCAACAGTATATAACAATTTTACACAGAAAGCAGGCTGTACATCGGATTACGGCTCCATGTTTAACAAACGGCGTTAAATCTGAAGCAATAATCCAAAACCAGCATGCGCCAAAAGCAGAAAATGAACTATTAAAATTTCAAAAATTTCAGCTTCACTGATATACTCAGGTACTATTTTTACTCTATGTACTCAACTTTTTTAAATATTTATAATTATAATTTGTCAGCATTACATATTGGCAATGCCATGCCACTTGCCATTATGCTTCATACATGTAACATAAAGGATAAAAAAGACCAAATAAAAACAAAAAAATATTGTGATGTAAATATAAAAAAAAAAAAAAAATTCTGAAACTATGTTTCTACGTAACAATTTTTTTCAATCATAGATCATATTTATTTAGATAACTTACATTAGTCTCACTATCCCGTATCAGGAAATCTCCATCATGGCCTTTTTGATTTAGTATGTTGTCGCAAACGTTTCTAGTGATACAGCCATAGTACCAGGGTCTATCTATCAGATGGGGTTTTTCCACCGATTGTTGAGATCGTTCCATGTTGGATTCAATTCTCTCAGGCTTATTTCTATCCTGATATGGCTGAGTAAGGTAGTCAGACAATTCCTGTAGGTAATTCTTGGGAACTAATCCTATTTGACCCTGAGCATTTCTCGCTTTATACCTAATAAAAAATGAGCAAAACAACATTTGAAACCGAGTTTGAAACCATTATCATTACCATTCTGGATCTGTAACAGGCCTGTCCAATATTTCAAGACGATCACCCTTTTCAAAAGATAATTCCTGATCATTTGATGAAGTGAAAGAGTACAGGGCTACTACTATATCCAATACATTTTCTGCCATGGCGTATGTGTGTAACTGTTCATCTGCGTCACCTTCTTCCTGTGTGTAGTTTGATGGAAACCATCCTGCAACTGTACCACTTTGGCCTCTCCACCAGCCTTAAACATTTTTGTTTGTTAATATACATTTCCTTATTAAATTAAACTAAAATATTTACTACACAGCCTTACATGACTAAAATGTACTACTAAGCATGAAGTAACTTTTTAACTTACCATCATTGCTTTTTTCTAAGATTAAAATTCTGGAACCTTTAACCAATGATAACTCATCAGGCTGTTGGGCCTGATAATTATATTTAACAACAGCCATTCCAATAGCTTCTGTTGGTTCTTGTATTTGTCGGCGGGCCATACTTGGAGATTCAACGTTTCTTGAAGGTGAATTATTGGAAGGAAGTGTTTTTGACCCTGATCCTTTTTTTACTTTTTTCTTAATGCTGTCAAATAGTGAAGGTTTTTCCTTCTTGACGTAGTTACTGGGAACATAACCGGACTGGTTCCGGCTATTTTGGACTTTCCACCAGTGTTTGGTGTCATCCAGTAGGACATACCGTTCATTTTTTCTAAGATCAAGTTCTTGTGGTCCTTGGCGTTCATAATCATATTTTGCCACCACATAGCATATATCATCTTGAGCAATTTTGCCTAAAAGTAAGAAAATTATCTAAATATAAAAGGGATATTGCATATCGTAAAATAATAATGTTAATTAATTAGAGTTGGGCGTCACTTTAAAAAATTACCATAAATGAACATCATTAGCTAACATTCATGACCATGATCATTCCTTGCCAAAATCTAAGACAAAATTTTCGTTACCATTTTTTTGTATTCGCAAAATTGAAAGAGTTATTTAATTTTTGTAAAAAAAAACGTCAAATTAAAGTCAACCCATAAAATTTAGAAAAAAAGATATATTTTTAATTTATTTCAAACATTGTCGGCATCGGCAGTAAAGTAGAAATTTACTGCCGATTTAATACGAGTATTGTATGCAACCCATTACATTTTAAGATGTGTCTACTGCTCCTCAGCAGCAACTAAATAATATTTTTTAAAAATCACAGTTGCAGAGGTCGATTGGACCCTTTCATAAAATGTTGTTTAATAAAAATAATAAGTTATGGTGGAATTATGCAGCACAAATAAACATTAACATTAAGATTAAGATTAATTTAACATAAATGCTTCCATTGTACTACATTCATATTAACTTTTTAATGTTAATCTTAATGTTAATGTTAATTTGTGCTGCATAATTCCACCATTAATTTTATTAATTAAATAAAAAAATCGCCGCGTCGGGCAAATATATTATAACCGTCGCAACAAACATTATACGTAGACACTTCCTACATTCAAATGACATTTGATTTGATCATCAAATGGCATTTGATTAATTATAATTGCATATTAAATTTTATCCGAAATCGCATTTAATAATACTAATAATTATTAGTATTATTAAATGCGATTTCGGATAAAATTTAATATGCACCTCGGCATTAAAGTCATTTTTTATCATTAACGTGGTTATTTGCCTCGGCTTTCGCCTCGGCTTTCGCCTCGGCAAATAATTTCCACATTCGTGATAAAAAATACGACTTGTTCTACAAAAATATGTCATGCCGATTAATTAATATGTCTATTAATATTTCCTTATGTCATTAAAATGTCATTTAGGCACGACATGAAAAAAAAATATTTTTAAAATTGTTTTTAGATTATAAACAAATGATACCTAAGTAAAAAAAACAACTTGGTAAATAATGGACACCCAATTGAAGATATACGGTATATCATATAACGTATATCTCGTTTTGCGCATACTAAAAACCAGAATCTTACGCCGCGGCGGTAATTTTTACAAAGTGACTAGAAGTACACCGGGAGTACCGCCATTAAACGTACACCGGGTGGGAAAAAATGGGGCGGGGTCGGTTGGGATGGGTTGTTGAGTTTGGGTTGGTTTGGGTAATTCATACTGACATTTCATTAATTTTGTTGTTAATTGTCTTTCAATCACTTAATTAAATTTTAATCAATGTTTATAACTAACTTGAAAGTTAGCTTAATAATTACATAATTAATATCAAGAGTTAACCAGCTGTTTACCAACTGTTATACAACTGGGCCTTAGTGTACCAATTTAATCTCAACTAATAAATCCGAAATTTTACCATCAGCTGGTATGGAAACACGCATGGGCACAAACCTGATATACGTTTAATGCCCGTACTCCCGGTGTACTTCTAGTCACGGCGTAATTTTTATGTTGTTTACAATTTGTATGCTTTCGGTTTGTGCTGTTTATACGTTTATATAATCGTTTATATAAACGTTGTGTTTCTTAAGGGGCACTTGAAAGCCTCAAATGAGCCCTTAAAGAAGAACCATTTTACTCCTCTTTTGGTAAAAATAAACCTTATTCTATCAAGGCTGTAAACTGTAAAATTTAAATTTGTGTGTTAATTTACCATAACCCACAAATTAAAATTTGACAGTTTGATGACAGCTCTGATTATTTTTTATAAAAGAGGAGTAAAATGGATGTTCTTAACACTTTAAGGCTTACAAGTGCCTCTGTAAGAAACACAACGTTTAATATGTTTATCTACTCCACCATTGATAAGCTGTGACTTTATGGCGTTTTAGTCACGGGCTGAAGTTAGCAACAGTGGCTTTTGGTCATTTTAGTCACGGGCTGAAGTTATCTTTAATATTAATTGGGAAAAAGTGAGGTTAAATCCGTTGACAGTTGACGGATGTCAAATGTTTAACAAATAAAATTGGCTTTAAAATCTTATTTATGTTCGTCGTAGATAAAGTATAGTATGCAACTCGTTTTATAAACTTCTCTAGGCACTCGTTTTTATTAAAAACTCGCTCGCAAGCTTCGCTCGTTCTTAATTAAACTCGTAACTAAAATGGCGTTTACAAAACTTGATACATAATATACTATTAAACAGCACAAACCCAAATAAAAATGGCCGCCGTTAGATTCTGTGCTGTGTTGAAGTGATTTTTAGTATGCGCGAAACGAGATAGAACAGACGTTGTTGTGTGGATTGTGAGATATACAACATTTTTTCGTAACCTAGTGAATAAAAATTTAATAAATCAAATAGAATATTCAAGTAGAAAGTATTAAGAATGTGTGATAAAAAGATTAAAACCAATTAACTTTACATACGTTACAATGTCATAACATTTTCTTAAAACACTTAACGAGGAAAATAACTCAACTGTGAGATAAAAAAGGAGAATCGCAGGCCGCTCCACTAAATCTGCGAGAGTTAAGCCCTCTGCACAATAGCCCGGTAACGGGAACGGGAATCTGAACAGTAAACGTGGGAAAGACTAAGCAACCACTGTTGATTGATAGTCTTTGCTGACTCTTGTTACCACCGGGCTGTTGTGCAGCTGGCTTTAAAATCATGAATTTAATTGTCACTTTACCAATTTCGTCCGCAAGTGTCCAATTAATCCCTATTTCGTAGAGTGACATCGAGTAAAACTGTATGTCAAACTGACGAACTATGTTCGAAATTGTAAATGATCAGTCGATTTTCGAGCGAGCGAAATGTATGTTAATATTTCATATTGTGATTGGCACTTTTACGTTTTATCTAAAAAATTTGATTTTCATTGATTTTTACTACCGTTTTAACTGAAACAAAAAGGAACTTTACCGGGGAAAGATTAAACGCACAAAGAAGTTCTTTAGAGTAAAAAAAACGGGTTTAGTTTGAAATTTAATTCCCTATATAAGGCGTTAATGACAAGTAAATAACGTTCGATTTTTTTTTAACATTTCTAGGTTCTATCATATTTCCACAAGACGAAAAACTCACTTTTCTTACGCATTGAACAGGCTGTTTTTTCATAGAGTATAGTACTTTTCTTGACGATTTTTAAGAAGAACGATTTTATTTCATTTAAAACAAATTAATAAATGTGTATAATTTTTTTTAGTTTAATTATAACACATAGTTACATTACCAATTATTCTTAGTTAAAAAACTGCGAATTTGAATATCGAAAAAAACGTTTTTTTCACAAAATCTTAAAAACAAGAGCCGGTTAAGCAAAATGGCTGTCGAACAGTGTAATCAAAAGTTTAGTTTCTAGAACTAAAATTTTAAAAAGTTTATATTTTGTTTTTAAACTTGGATAAATATAATGTTATTTCCTGTGTTATTTCAATGCAATACTTTTAAACTTAATGAGTAGCCAGGGCCAAAAAAAATATTTTTGGAAATCTCACTAGGCTGATTTTTTTCAAAATGTATAAAAATGTTTTAGCCTAGCCATTTTACGTTAGGGGTGAAGCTTAACATTTTTTCCTCTTTGAGTCGCGGCTTAGCCATTCCGCGTTACCTACTCAGTAATTTTTGTAGCGTCCGTAATAATACAAAATTTTGAGTAAAAGCTACCGTAATTAAATTAAATAATTTTGAAATAGTTATTATTGCAAACATGTCTATTATGCTAGTAAGAATTAAGCATAAGCTTATAAGCATAATAATTACGGTAGTTTTTACTTACAATTTTTTATTTAAAAAAAATGGTACTTATAAAATAGCTCTTAAAACTAAAGAAATTGTGGAAGCCTTATTTTCTAAAAGGAATTGGAACCATGCACATGAATTAATGGATTTAATTAAACTTCCTATACAATTCTGCACAGTATGTTTGCAAGGAGAAGCCACTGCCACAAACATAATGAGGCACATTTTAAAAGTAATAAGGGAAGAATTTGAAGTGATTATTAGAAAAAAAACTAAAATTTAATCCTTGCATCAATTAATAAAAACAACTCTTTACTACTTAAAAAATAAGAAAAAATTAATAGGTACTTCTTTTGTAAAAATAAGTTATATTGACTAGTTTTTTAGCCAAATCGCTCGAGTTTTTTTTTAAATAAAATTAAAAGTAAGTTAAAATTACTACTTTTGTATATATCTGAGGAACATATATATACAAGTACAAATTTCACCAAACTTTTAATTTTATTTAAAAAAATGCGTCGATAGATTTACTTAAAAAACTCTCCCAAAATCAAATGATGTTATATTTATATTTTAAGAAATAATATGCTAACCGTTTAATAACTAACAGTAATAAAATCGGTAAGATTAAGAATAGTACAAGTCCAAAAGTAAAATTTTTGATAAAATATTTTAAAAAATCAGTTTTAAATGCATTTTTGTTAGAATATTTTAACTATTTTATGAAATATAATATTCATATTCTATAAAATAATTTATATCTTCTCTCAAAAATGTATTTTAAACTTTAAAATTGAGTTTAGAAAATAAATTGTCAAAATTAAATTTTTGGACTTGTACTGTTCTTATTCTCACCGATTTGTAATGTGGATATTAATACTTAAAAATCTCGTAACAAAATATGAAGTTTGCAAAATACAGCAAAACATTCTTTAGATTGTTTACTATTTTAGATGTCATTTACAAGAAAATTAAAAATCCTTTTGTTTGATATATAACACGGTATATTTTTGTCTAAAACAAACGAAATATGGCTAAAAATGACATTTTTGTAGAAGTTTTTTTTGTTGTTTTTTAAGAAAAATTTTGGTTGTGATATTATATCATTTTAAAAAGAATTTAATACAATAGAAC